ACAAAGCTGAAAAAACGGCGGAGATTAACGCTGCTAGGCAGACAAAGGGATTGCCACCGTTCGAACGGTTACCGTTTACTTTGCAGACATATTGTGCAGTAGAAGATTTGTGTCAGTAATCTAGCAAAATCAATAAATAAAATAACTTATGAAGCTACATCTACCGATGCTACAACTGCGGCTTGTTTTAATTACTCATTATACGTGCCAGATAGCATGGATTGTTAGCTAGTGTGAAAAGTTTGACAAATGCAGGTCGAGTATACCAACTGACCCACCGCACCGAAACTGATCAAATATCTAAAACTCCGGCCAACTCGTATAGTAAGTACCACGGAATATATAATAGTGGCACCAATTTTCAATATTAACTAGCACATAAAACGTGCCGACTGATGCAATGGAAAACATTTGCAGTAGTTACTAGGGCTGCATAAATTGAGCCGACGCAGCATTGCACGCTGAATGCGAACGGAATGCCGAACGAGTGGTCGTCAGTGAACCGTGATATGCGCACTTCAATATTGCAGGTACTAAGAGGCATGCAGCATGGCGCCAGATTTGAGATGTGAAAAATCAGCAGAAACTATGTAGAATTCACTGTTAAATTGAAACTGCCTTAAAAATGTGCCCACACGGCCAATCTAAGATTGATACTGTACACTCAAATTAAATAAACAGAGACAATCCCACAAAACATGCAGATGCAACATTTTCAATAGTTACTAAGCGAATGCGAACGCAATGCTGAACGAGTGGTCGTCAGTGAACCGTGATATGCGCACTTCAATATTGCAGGTACCGAGGCATGCAGCATGGTGCCTGATTTGAAAAGTGAAAAATCGACAGAAACTACCTATTCTACCTATTCACTGTAGAACAGAAACTACAATTCAATGTTGAATTGAAACTGCCTTAAAAATGTTCCCTCACACGGTAGATCAAAAACTGATACTGACTTATATCCCACCTGACTTGTTTTCTATTTACAATCGTATGAAAAAAAATATAGGCAATCCCGCAAAACGTACAGCTACGACAGAAAACATTTGCATTAGTTACTAGGGCTGCATAAATTGACGCACGCTGAATACGAACAAAATGCTGAACGAGTGGTCTTCAGTGAACCTTATACTCACTTCAATATTGCAGGTGCATAGTGAATAGTTAAATATCGCCGCGCATAATATATTTCCGTTTGCAATGAAAAGTAAAAAATCTACAGCATCCATCAATCCATCAACGTCCGTCCACTGTATCACACTGCGAATTGAGCACAGTTGCCAACTACCTGATCTCCTACTAACTAGAGCCAAATTCATCAACGCTAAAGGTTTTCAAAAAAAGTTCGGGACGAATTGAGAACCTCCTCCTCTTTTGTTTTTTCGTCGGTTAAAAAGACTGAGCTTGAAACTTACGTCAAAATTACTGGTTTGTATGGGGATGCAAGAAAGACCAGGCGGCACGCCGCGGCGCGCCCTTCATACTATGAATGACGCTTTCACGTTGACGGTGCACTAAGACGCCGCCACGCTCGGTCTTTATTTTGACCTTAACTGTCAAAATTCTCCGAACCCTGCATTTTGTTTCCAACGCAAATTATGGGAGCACCACACAGGAGCACCATGAGACAAATTGCTCACGCACTAGACGACTACATACGGTTTGTGAATTGATTTGATTAGTGACAGCCAACATGACAACCACTGACAGCTGCAATTTATTTTGATGCGGTGGCGTGAGTCATGGTAAGAGCTATATCCGGTTTTTGCACAAAATTACAAAAAAATACTTTTTCTGACATCCGCACCCGGAAAACACCGCCGAGAGTTACGGTAAGTTATTATGCAATGATATTATATGTAGGTTCTAGGTTGTAGATACGCCACCTGAGCAAAAAGTTGTTCCTTCAAATTGGTCTCCGTGAGACCAATGTGACAGTCTTGTGTCAGTCAGGCGTGTCTATTGTTATTATGATGATGATGAATCCCATAAATCCAAAAGGAATAAATTATTCATATACCTAACGCCAGACCGTGAACAAAAAGTGAACAAAACCGTTTTCATTTCATGAAACAAAATAAAATATTTGCAAGGAAACAATAGAAACTTTACCCTCTTCTGCGCGTTTTGTGAATAAGATTGAAAAGAGCTGCAAGTTCCTCGGTAAGGCAACTTATCCAGAAAACAATGGAAACGAAAATACAACTTAAAGAAATATATTTTTTTTTACACAACGTCTTTATCATCATCCACTCGTCTATTATCAAAAAATATCAAAAGTATCGTCATATAATGCACAAACGGACGTTTCGTATATTTTTGCCTTATTTCCCTTTCGTGTAGGTCTCATTTTCCTTCAGATTTAAATGATCGTTATTTTCGTGTGGTAATTTTCTGAGATGCAAAACATGATTTCGTAGCAAGTCGCTACGTAGCGCTACGAAATATCTACGAGTTTTCTAAATCAGACGCTCGGCTACCTTATCTACTAAGAACGTACTACACATACTACTTATACCCGATCTTTCAGCGTTATGTCCGTTTCTTTATACTAGTCACCACAGTCCACAACCTGATGAGGGTTTTTCGGTCGTTCGTAGTCTCGGTGACCTACACGATATTGTAAGTAGCAACATTATTTACTTCGCTGCAATAAAATATAAGTAAGCAGATTGTATGTAGATCTTGTTCGTATGTAACTTCCAACTTGTGTTTGTGCCTGTTATGGGTTTGTTGTTTCCGTCTGCCTTCCGGCGGGTTTCTTTTGTTGCTCGCTGTTTGAAGAACCAATGGGTTTTATTGTGTTGCATTGCAAGCTTATGGCGGTTTGTTCTGTTATGTGGAATAAGTTTATTTATTTGTGTTTTACTCATACGCCTGTATAAGGTATATTGTTTCCTTACTTTTATTATACCAGGTAAGTTTGTGTGTTATAAAATTGAGCATACTACATTAAGGAATCACTTTCCTTGAACAGGCCTAGTAATAAAAAGTTACGTACCTTCACTGAAAATCAACTATGCTTGTGTAACTCACAAATTATCTGAACCTATAAAAAAAACTTATAATATAGCCTCTATCACTAGGATTCATTGGATTGTTCGTTGACTTGGTGATCCCACACAATAGAAGAAGTACAAAGGTTAGATCTTCTTACGTACTTAGCGGCATTTTATAATCATTTCATTGACCGTGAAAAGTTTACTTCAAAAGGACAAACTAACCTGTTTTAAAATTGCCAAACGGAGTCACAAACTCCAATCTAGCCGAGGCCGGCATCGGAGTCAAACGAGCGCCAAAGAAGCCAAACTAGTGAACAAGTAAACGGTGGAAGTTTTCAATCGGCGTCCTAAAGAGATTGATCCACCGCGGTACATCCTGTATCGTTCCTTGTGAGGTCATATTTGTCAAGTATATTTAAATTTATTTAAATTTGAATGTCCAATCTAGCCAAGGCCGCAATTCGGGCCAAATGAGTACCAAAGAAGCCAAATTAGTGACCAAGTAAATGGTTAAGTTTTCAATCGGCGTCGTAAAGAGGTTGTTCTACTGAGATACGCACGAACTAATCCTTGTGAAGACATCATTCATAAGACCAATCTAGCCAAGGCCGCCATTCGAGCTAAATGAGTACCAAAGAAGCCAAACTAGTGAACAAGTAAACAGTTGAAGTTTTCAATCGCCGTCCTAAGAGGTTGTTCTACCGCGGTTCATATGCACTGTTCCCTGTGACGTCATCACTCAAGTGAGCGAAGTACAATCTAGCCGAGGCCGGCATCGGAGTCAAACGAGCGCCAAAGAAGCCAAACTAGTGAACAAGTAAACGGTGGAAGTTTTCAATCGCCGTCCTAATAGGTTGTTCTACCGCGGTTCATATGCACTGTTCCCTGTGACGTCATCACTCAAGTGAGTGAAGTACAATCTAGCCGAGGCCGGCATCGGAGTCAAACGAGCGCCAAAGAAGCCAAACTAGTGAACAAGTAAACGGTGGAAGTTTTCAATCGGCGTCGTAAAGAGGTTATTCTACCACGGTACATGTGTAATGTTTCCTGTGTCTTTATCGTCGTTATCATTCATGTGTCAAATCAAGCCGAGGCCAGTTTCGGCGTCGAAAAGAGGTTATTCTACTGAGATACACACGAACTAATCCTTGTGAAGTCACCATTCATGTACCTAACCAATCTAGTTGTGGTCGACGTCGGAGTCAAACGAGCGCCAAAGAAGCCAAATTAGTGAACAAGTAAACGGTAAAGTTTTCAATCGGCGTCGTAAAGAGGCTGTTCTACTGTGATACATTCAAATTGATCCATGAGACGTGATCATTGCTAAATAAATTTAAATTTGAATGTCCAATCTATTCGAGGCCAGCATCGGAGTCAAATGAGGACCAAAAAATGAAAAAACGAGTGCCGAAACCATACTAGTGATCAGAAATACCTACGACGAAAACTAACCGCCTACTTACTTTTCGTAAAGAGGCTATTCTCAAAGACGCCATAATTGCTAAGTAAAAGTAAGATTTTCCTTTCGTTTTATTCAGTCGTTTCAATAATGGGTAGTATAACTAGCTTTTAGAGCCAACTAGAGTAGCCATAAGCCGCGCCCAGCAACTTCCTGATTCCCCGTAGTTATTCTAAAGGAATGCTTTATGCGCCTTCTGCCGGCGAGCGCACGTATCTAAACATGTTAGCTGGTGTTCTACTCGTACAATATCAGCTAATAAAAATTCATCAGGGTCAGCCAGGGACCATAGCTCATTTGGTAGAGCACTGGGACGGTTCCCCACGGTCCCGGGTTCAAGTCCCGGCGATCGCTGATGAATTTTTCAATTTTCTTATTTTCAATCTACTAGTACAGTTTACTTAGAACACACTGGAGCAACCTTCAGCAACTTCCTGATTCCTCGTAGTTTTTCTAAAGGAATGCTTTATGCGCCCTCTACCGGCGCACGTAACTAAACATTTTAGTAGCTAACAAATTCATCAGGGTCGGCCAGGCGCCCATAGCTTAGTTAATAGAGCAGTGGGACGCTTCCCCACAGTCCCGGGTTCAAGTCCCGGCGCGGTGGTGGTCGCTGACGATTTTTTCAGTTTTTTTATTTTCAATCTACTGGTACAGTTTACTTAGAACACACTGGAGCAACCTTCAGCAACTTCCTGATTCCCCGTAGTTTTTCTAAAGGAATGCTTTATGCGCCCTCTCTTGGCAAGCATACGTTACTAAACATGTCAGCTGATATTCTACTAGTACAGTTTGCTTAGAACACACTGGAGCAACCTCCAGCAACTTCCTGATTCCCCGTAGTTTTTCTAAAGGAATGCTTTATGCGCCCTCTGCCGGCGAGCGCACGTAACTAAACATGTTAACTGGTATTCCACTAGTACAATAACAGCTAACAAAAAATCACCTCGGTCAGCCAAGCGCCCATAGCTCATTTGGAAGAACAATGGGTCAGTTCCCCACGGTCCCGGGTTCAGGTACCCGGCGATCGCTGATAAATTTTTCAGTTTTCTTATTTTCAATCTACTAGTACAGTTTACTTAGAGCACACTGAAGCAACCTTCAGCAACTTCCTGATTCCCCGTAGTTTTTCTAAAGGAATGCTTTATGCGCCCTCTGCCGGCGAGCGCACGTAACTAAACATGTTAGCTGGTGTTATACTCGTACAGTTTCAAACAAAAAGTTTTGCTCGCTTTACAAATGCTGAGTCCAGATTTCAAAAGCTTTGTAACCTATTCTGTTTGATTTAAAAAGACCTAAGAAGTGCCAAAGTGGTTGTTTTCAGTGAAATCTTAAAAATACTAGTAGGATGTAAATAAATAGGGGTCAAAAATATCTAGAAACTGATCAACTTTATCTTAGTAACATAGGGACATACTAATGTCAGAGGCAGCGTAATTTAATATAGGAATATAATATTTCACATCTAGAAGCATTTTCTACCCATCAGATAGGTCACATCACAAGTCATGTATCTAATTACCTAACCTGTGTCACCTTTTCATCTCTATGTCTATTATATTAGAACAATAAGAAATGATAAAGAAAAGGAGAAAATATCAAGAAAGGATGATAAACAATAAATCTATTTACTTATTTTACGGTATTTAGCTTTGTTTCAATTTTTGCATATTAATAACAGAATAAACAGATAAGTTCAGATTAGTTTTTGTCTATTTAATATTTTTCATGCGATCCATAAAGTTAAAACGAGGTTAGCAATAGTTTTCAAATATCTCTTTCCATTAAATCTCAGTGTCCAAGCTTTATGGACAAATGTTATGGTTGTCCTGTCGCCTGTAGTTGCTCTTAAAAGTCTGCGGTTGAGAAATTGATGGTCACCCTAAGCACCGTTATAGTATCGGTGATAAAAACCTTTTGAGACTAAAATATTAACGTTATATTAGAGCGTAGTACCTAGGTATTTTTCCTACATGTAAGGTGCGTAATTTTAGAATGTATCGACATAGGTATGACAGGTAGTACGTAAAATATTTCATGACCTATTTACACGATTCCAAATACCATTGTCATAAATTAGGGAGACAGCGCGCGGGCCGCCTTTACAGATGGCTTACTCACTACTCAGCAGGGTTCGAAGATATATATCACTTGATATATATCATTGATATTTATCGGATATATATCACGATATTTACTCCTTAATAAATATCAAGTGATATATATCATTGATAAATATCGCGTGATATTATGATATTTATTTTTTGGATATATATCACCATTATTATTTGAAGATTTGTGAAATTTTATGGTCAAATAGACTAAAAAAGAACTCGCCAAGTATTCGCCCGCCATTAATGAATATCTTTAGTTAATTATAAAAACCCCACTTTTCTTATTCACGAAAAAGAAACAAAATAAGTAGGTATGATGTGAATTTCTCTGTACCTATTACTTTCTTATTTAAGGTAAAATTTGTAAATATTAAGTTAGGTGTCTTTATTTCGTTCTTTGGTATTTATTTAGACAGACTCATAGATTTAAAGTTATTGGGAATGCGAGGTGGATGGTTTATTAGGTAGAGCATTTACTGCGTGCGGGCTCAAATACGATGGTCGAATTATAAAATGTAGGTATGCACGTATCCACTATTGTAAACCCGTTTTATGTGTTCGCTGTACTTCTGACAAAAAAATACAGTATTTTTTATACTACTTTCATTTCAAAATAACCTATGATGAAAAAAAGTGTTCCAAATTAATTTTCTAACAAAAAATATCGTATTTGTCAATAAAATCAATACATTATTTTGAAAGATTTTATACTGATTGATATATATCCGATAAATATCAAAAAATGGATATATATCCGATTTATTGGATATATATCGGATATGTTGATATTTATTATAAATATCGGATATTTTCGAACCCTGCTACTCAGTACTAGCAACGATTTTGACGCTTACACCACAAGAAAATGCGGATAAAAACGATTGACTGGCGTACCTAAACAGTAATTACTAGATATGGCAGTTGACAGGTAGGTATATGAGCTGCATTATTTTGCCGGATCCAGTTTTCATAAAAGTTGTTTACAGAATAAAAAAAACCGTTCAGCATGGTACATGTCGCATGAAATCGCGGGTGTCACAGGTTGTCATTTGTATGCTGGCTGTCATGACATAAGTGCGATTCATCTGGTGCATGTGCGATTCATCTAAAAATCAATAAATAACAATATTTATTAAGGCATCTATTTGAATATAATCAGCCTGTACAGCCGCAAAATGTTTGTATATTTTTCATGCAAAATGCCTCATCGTACATTACAAGCCTTGCGGCGGCTTGCGGTTACAGCTACCTGATTGTACAAATGGCGATATTTACCGCTGTTTTCCAATTTTGTAGTAATATATAGCCAAATTACTGCTCAGTAATTGGAAATTGGTCACAAAAGCATCGCATTACACAAAAGATTATATTATTATTGTTCAAAAATGTGTATTTCTGTACAAAATTACCTTAAATTTTATGCCCATCTACTTAATAGCATACATTTTTGATCTATATAATAAGTAAGACCGTAGTAGATTTGCCGTGTGGTACCGGTTTACAATAGCATCATCCCATATCTTTCCCGTGATTGTTGTAAGAAGCGCTAAGGGATTTGAGGGTTGATGTGTATTGCAATTCTAGGCGACAGGTTAACAACCTGTCACGATAATTAATACACAGTCATCTGAATGACTACCTACCAAACTTTTGTCAGACGTGGTGTAAATGGTCGTTTTTTACAACCGTTTACGCTCTGCCTTCCTCGCAAGGGATATGGGAGTAATATATGTAGGTATGAAATAAGCTAGACAGATAGATAACTTACTCAAATGGATAAAATTCACATCTTTCTACAATTAAATTCATAAATTCCTTTACATATACATATCCATATCAGTCAAGATAGTAGGTAATTTATTGAATAGGTAAGGTAATCTGCTTCGTAAACCGTTCAACTATGATTCATATCCATGAACGTCAGAGGGGGCTGCGGGCTGCGGCTAGCGGCCGTATATCACAAACCACTGATTAGTGGTCGGCCTCAGACTCCCGCAAAAATATTGAATATTCGCTGCCAATACAGTAGTGGACAGCCGCAGCCCCCGGCCGTGGAGGAAGGGGGGATCGGCCCCCCTACAGTCCATTAAACCCCCTCCTCCTCTACGTTTATTCGCTGGAATAGTGTGCAATAAAACGCGAGCGCCGACCGCCGCTGGCCGCAGTAAAAAATACAACCCTGAAAATTATTCTTTTGAACGGACTACGTGGGCAGCGGCCGACAGGCACGCGGCTGGATGCGAAAAACTTTCCGGCTTTACATGTTTGTAGCACTGAATTAAACTCGGATAACCGCACTGGAGGGCTGGAAATTGGACTGGGCTAGCTTATTATTAGATTTGCTGAAAAGCCGCAGCTGTATGCGAAAACGTGAGCATGTGGTTATGTGAAAATACTTGATGTACAAACACTCCATAGGAGCGTAAATTTGTAGTCATTAAAAAGTGTCAAAATTGCCATTGGTACTTAACTTTATTCGGTCGCCTCTGAAGTCTATCGTACATTTTCTATTCAATTAAACTCTTTTTCGACCCTACTCAAGTGGAGAATAGACCCTTATGGTACCCTTATTTTCCAAGCGTCGCGACAACGACGCGCGTCAAATTTTGACGGCGTCGTTGTCGCTGCGGTCTTGTAGAAAAACCCGACCGCATCCCATACAAACCCTGAGCTTCTCGGCGCGCAGTCAACGTGACGGCGTTGTGGCGCGCCGCTACGACGCCGACGCTCGGTCTTTCTGGTTCCCCATACAAACCAGTCATTTGACAGCGACAACGACGCGCGTCGTTGTCGCTGTCACTTGGTTTATAAGCCTACCATTAAATTCAATCCACCTAACCAAACCCTAGTTTTTTTAGTGATGAATATAGACTGTGTGTATGGCATTTATTAATCCGTTTGAAATATATTCCAAACGTTCCACATTCAAAATCGAATTATTACAAAGCCATCCGTCGAATTTGTCGGAAACTCAATTTCGGCGCAAAAACTAGTTTGAGCGTTTTATTTTATTTATCTCTAAAACTGTTGCGTCAGCCTGTTCGATACTTCGATACTTTTTTCCTGTGAAAAAATGCTGCCTGCCGTTCAGCCTGTCACATACACACGAGACTCGTTAACGTATGAGATATACGTCTATCCATATGAACACAGCCTACATGTCTATTGTTTACGTGTGAGGAATGTTGTAAGTTATCTTTTTTATGGTTTACAATATGACAGGAAAAATATATGAATGTTTGTAGGACTTTTACGTTGTTATACCTAACAAGTATTTATTTTGTAGCTCTATACCTACCAAGGTATCTACTGTAAACCTGTCGTAATTTGTATGAAATATGACAACATGAATAGGTAATCGCAATGATCATAACGTCAATCATAAGATGTCAATAATATGTATCATTCACTAATTAATTATGCCCAAAGACTATACAGGGAATAACAGAAAGGGTATAACAAGCCGAAAGGAGGTCAAGGTACTCATGAAACT